GCCGCGGAGTCTGGACCAAGGCCCGCGCCACGGCTGCTGGCTACCTTTGCGATGGCCTCTGTGCGTGCGGCCAGAGGCAGACGATCAAGCATTGTCTTTACGAATGCATGCTGCCTGCTGTTGTTGCTGCCCGCGCCGAGGCTGAAGTCAGCCCGTTGTTCATCAGTGCCGGCCTCGATTCTGACGATCCAATCTTCGTGCAAGGAGTTGTCCTGTATGATGAGGAGGAGATTCCTCCCCCATCCTGCTCGGATAAAGTGGTCCTCGAGGGCCCTGAGGGGGAGGAGTTGGCGGTTGAGGTTGAGGGGGTGGCGTCTCTGGTCCAGAGCCCTCGATTGGACGTAGCCCCTGATGGCTCTTGCACGCGTCCAGGCTTAGTAGAGCTTGAGCGTGCGTCGTGGTCTATTGCAGTGCTTGCGCCTGAGTCTAATGTGCCTGTGGCAGTCATTCGAGGCCCTGTCGCAGGCAACCTTCCTCAAACGCCGAGCATCGCCGAAAGCGTCGCGCTCTGTTTGATTGGCCAGATCGCCGACCGTGAGACCCTGGCTGGCAGTGACTGTACCTCCGCGATTCGGCGATTCCAGCAACCTGTGCAAGCCCAGCTGCGTGCGTCCAACCAGGCAGCTGGCATTCTGAAGTTTGGTCGTGGCCTTGAAAGCCACCAATTCATCTCGGCTCGGCACGTTAAGGTTCATCGGCCCCAGGAGCAGATTGACAGTCTCTCGGGCGAGGAACGTCACTGGGCCGAAGCGAACCAATTCGCCGATCATCATGCTAAACTCGCTGCCAGCTTGCACCCTGCTCCGTCGCCAGAGTTGTTGGCCAAGCTCGATCTCGCGAGGAGTCGGGCCGCCGATTTTGTTGCGTTGGCTGCTGCTGTCCTCCCGTGTTTCCTCGAGGAGAGTCCGCAGCGGTGGCGGAGACCCACAGCACTGTGACGAAAGAAGAGCTCTCGGGGGGAGTGTGGCACTCTTGGGGTATTGGTGAGCTCGGCTGGCAGTGCGAAGTCTGCTTCAAGGTTGCGCCATCGTGTCGCAACCTGCCGTTGAATGGTTGTCTCGGGACCCCGTCGTTTTTGAAGCCTCTCACGGAAGACTCGTTGTGGCATCAGCTTGTCGCCGTCAGTGGCTCTCGTCTTGCTCCGTTGCGTGCTGTGCGGTACCGTGCCGAGGAAGAGAGCACCGAGGCTCGACGGGGTTCCCTGCTATGTCTGAAGCGTGGAGGTTGGAAACAGGAAAAGGCCATTAAGTTGAGCAAGCCCTGCGCCCCATCCACCAACACTGGTAAAATGATGTTGCCTCGTTTTCGGAGAGGACTCGCCCCGAATCCCCGAATTCGTGCGTTGATCGACCGAGCCGTCCCTGCCCCTCGCGTCGGTCTCACAGTGGCTAGTGCGCGGGATGTCAGAGCGTCGACGTCAGTCGTAGAATACTCGGTCGACAGTGCAATCCCGTACGAAGCTCGAATGGCTCGCATGCTGGAGCGGGTCCGAGCTCGCGAGAACAGCCGCCAGGTTTAAGTTTCTCGGAGCGGGTGCACCTGTCGCGAGCGCCGAGAGTGGCAAGTGTCCACCACTCTCGGCCTCACAAAATCTCCCCCCGAAGGTGCACCCGCCCCCACAAGTTGTTCGGGCTGGCCCCTCTCTCCTCGGACTGTCCTCCTGGGAGTCGTCTCATCTCATCGCATCTCATCTCATCTCATCTCATCTCATCTCATCTCATCTCATCTCATCTCATATCATCTCATCTCCTCCTCCTCTTCCTTTATTAGTCGTCGTATTCTTCCTATGATGACCATGATTATGAGTACTACTATTAATAGTAGCATTAGTATTATTAGTATTATTAGTATTCGTATTGTTATCATCATTATCAGTATTGTTAATATTATTAATAATACTATATTTAGTAGTATTACTGGTAGTATTAGTATAATTATTAGTATTAGCATGAGTATTCGTACATTATTATTACTATTACTATTATTAGCATTATTATCATGATTCGTATCATGATTATCATCACTATTATTATTGTTATTAGTAATACTCCTCCTCCTCCTCCAATTCCTCCGCCTCGTCCTCTTCCTCCTTTTCCTCCTCTTCCTCCTCCTCCTCCTCCTCATCGTCGTCGTCCTCCTCCTCCTCCTCCTCCGCCTCCGCCTCCTCCTCCTCCTCCTCCTCCTCCTCCGCCTCCGCCTCCGCCTCCACATCCTCCTCTTCCTCCTCTTCCTCCTCCTTCTCCTTCTCCGCCTCCGCCTCCGCCTCCGCCTCCTCCTCCTCCTCCTCCTCCTCCTCCTCCTCCTCCTCCGCCTCCGCTCCGCCTCCGCCTCCGTCCGCCTCAACCTCCTCCTCCCTCCCTCACTCCCTCCCTTCCCTCCCCCCCCTCCCCTCCCCTTCCCTCCCCTCCTCTCCCTCCCTCCCTCCATCCTTCCATCCATCCTCCTCCTCCTCCTCGCCTCATTCTCCTCCTCCTCCTCCTCCCCCTCCTCCTCCTCCCCCTCCTCCTCCCCCTCCTCCTCCTCCTCCTCCTCCTCCTCCTCCTCCTCCTCCTCCTCCTCGGCAGCCACTTTCCTCCTGGAGACCCGCGGCCCGCCGCTGGGCGCCAGAGGTACTAATTCCGTGCATAGGCCTGGCCCGGCAGCCCCGTGCGCATGCCGCACCACATGCCCCTCCCCTTGGTCGCCGTCGTCGTCGTCGTCGTCGTCGTCGTCGTCGTCGTCGTCGTCGTCGTCGTCGTCGTCGTCGTCGTCGTCGTCGTCTTCGTCGTCGTGCCCCTGCAGGGTCGGCGGGGCCGTCAAGCCTTCGCACGGTCGGCGGCCCCTTAGAAGAGAAGGGTATAGATCAATCCAACAATCGATCAAAGAGCGACTGCCGACGAGGCGTCTGTCAGCATGGCTCGGTGCCAGCGCCTGCTGGGCTGACATGCTGTGGATCGTGGGGCACCCTCCGTCGCGCGGGCCTCCCTGTAGACCACCATTGGCCCCCCGCCGCCCTCGCCTCCCCAGCAGGGCGGCCCCGGCCTCCCCCGCAAGCCACCCGCGGTGTTTCGGGGGCGGCGATGGGGGCGAATAGCCCCTGGGGCGGGTCTTACACGCATTCGCCGGAGAGCCTCACCGAAGACATAGCCGACAATCGCCGCTGGAGGCATGTATTGCTCCCCATATGGGCTATTCGCCCCTGTCGCCGCCTCCGATCGATGATCCTCAGAGCGCGTGTTAGCGCCAAGACGTGCGCTTGTCCACCCAGGCCCTGGAATACGACGCAAGCCGCCCAAGGAGGGCTCACACAGACTGCGCGCTATCGGCGGAGCCGACTGGGGTAAACACACGCTTGGGCTAACGCGCGTCCTGAGGACCCTCGATCCGAGCCCAGGCCCGCCGCCACCGCCACCGCTTCATCCCTCCATTGACTCCTATCTGCCGCACCCCGAAACGAGTCAGTCGGGCAGGCTGGGGGTTTCGCCTGAGACATCCTCACCGTTTATGATTCAAAGTGAATGAAGAGTTCTGCACGTGCTTGATTGACGGATGGCGATTCCTTTTCAAAATGTGGCTCTCGCCGCACGCCGCGCGCATTCGCCTTAAGAGTTTGGATGAGTTTCACGGATGGATGGGGGAAGGGGTGGGTCAAAATGTGGCTCTCGCCTGAGGGCCGCGCACGTTGGCGTAAAAGTATGCAGGAGCTTCGCAGATAGAGGGCGGGTCACCTTCAAAATGTGGCTCTCGCCTGAGGGCCGCGCACGTTCGTCGCACAAGTTTGCAAGAGCTTCGCGGATGGAAGAAGGGCCGTTCACAAACTGTGGCTCTCGCCTTAGCGCCGCGCGCACTCGTCTTAAACATTGGCAAGGGTTTCGCGGATGGAGGGCGGCTCGTTTTCAAAATGTGGTTCTCTCGCCTTGGCGCCGCGTGCATTCGTCGTAAGAGTTTCCAGGAACTGCACGGTAGAGGGCGGGCCGTTTCCAAAACGTGGTCCTCGCAGTAGCGCCGCGCACATTCGTCGTTTAAAGCTTGCAAGGATTTCACGGATGGACGGCTGGTCGTTTTCAACGCGTGGTTCTCGCCTTAGCGCCGCGCGCATCTGTCTTGAAAGTGCTTGACAGCTTCACGGATGGACGGCGTGTGGTCTTCAACTGGTGGTCATCGCCTTAGCACCGCGCACCGTCGTTTCGAACCTGCGCAACAGCTTCACAAGCGGAAGGCGGGTCGTTTGCAAACTGCGGCTCTCTCCTCAGCGCCGCTTGCATTCGTTGCACAGGTGTGCAACATGTTGCTCTCGCCTGAGGGCCGCGCGCATTCGTTAGAACGTAGGGCTGTTGGTTTTCAATGTGGTTCTCGCCGTAGCGCCGCGCACATCCGCCTTGAACGCTTACAACAATGGCTGACGTCCCCGAAAATGGTGTTCCAACACGGTGTATCGTCAGGGCGCAGCAGACGGTGATTCGCGGTGCTCTTGCACGATGCAGGATCGTCAGGATGCAATCGTAAAGCTGCTTCGCGGCGTCAAGTCAGGGAGTGGTGTCTTGCCACGACTGGGACTATCAGACGGTGTTGCTCCAAAGAGACATCCACAGCAGTGATAACATTTTGCGGCAGGAACCTATGAAGGGGGAACTTGGAGGAAGGGTTCATTACAACATCCTTGGCGCGCCTTGGGTATACATTGGTTCTCCTCCTCCTCCTCCTCTTCCTCCTCCTCCTCCTTTTCCTCCTTCTTCTGCTCTTCCTCCTCCTCCTCCTCCTGTCCTCCTCCTCCTCCTCCTCCGCCTCGTTCTCCTCCGCCTCCTCCTTGTTCTCCTCCTTCTCCTCCTCCTCCTTCTCCTCCTCCTCCCCCTCCCCCTAGTCCTTCCTTCCTCCTCCTCCTCCTCCTCCTCCTCCTCCTCCTCCTCCTCCTCCTCCTCGTTCCTCCGCCTCCGCCTCCTTCTCCTCCTCCTCCGTTCCTCCTCCTCGGCAGCCCTTTTCCTCCCGCCGCCGCCGCCACCGGGCCGCCCGCGGCCGCGCTCCTGCGGCTGCCGCCTCTGGGAGAACGGCGGCGGGCGCGGCGGGCACGGCCCGCGCTGGCGCGGCGGGCGCGGCGGTTCTCGCCGGCGCGGCCTGCGGCGGCGCCGCGGGCGGGAAGACGACGACGACGACGACGACGACGACGACGACGACGACGACGGCGGCGCAAACGACCACGGCGGCGATCACGGCGGCGGCGACGGAGACCCCGACGACGGGCCGGGGCGGACCGCGGCGGCCCCGTGAGACCCGAGCCACTCTCTCTGCCTCTCTCTCTCTCTCTGTGTTTAACTTGCACCACATCGATTGCTGCACAAAGATGCCACTAGTACTTTTCCGCGCCTGCGGCGCGCCTTTCGATCGCCCACAACATAAGCATGTACGCCATAGACTGCACAACATAGATTGCACTACATATATTGTACAGAACACATTGCACATCAGAGATTGAACAACACATGTTGCACCACCTCTGTTGCACAGCAGGAATTGCACCACCTAGATTTCACAACATATAGTGCACACCTCAGATTGCTTCACGTTGCGGCAGCAGGGCAACGAGGCGGAGATCACGAAGTTCGACACGTTCACCAAGCTGGGCGTGGACCTCGTGGTGGTCGAGGCCGTGCGGGGCGTGGGCGGCGAGGACGCGGCGAAGCGCGACGGGCTGAGCCTCAGCGTGGAGTCCGAGGTGGGCGGCCTCAAGCAGGAGCAGGACGGCGGTGACGTCGTGGCGGCTGCCGTCGGGTCGCACTCCGTGCAGGAGGAGTCGGGCGTTCGCACCGCCGACTCAGGGTACGAGCTGGCGGTCATTTTGGGCCCGCTGGTGAAGGATTTCCTGCCTGCCATCGAGGCGCTCGACGTGAAGCTGGGGGCGGGCGTCACCTGGGAAGCCTATCGAAGGCTTGGCCGCGCTGCCACACCTTCGATGGAAGGCAGCTCGGTGAAGTTGGACAGCAAGCAGGGCCGCGAGTTCGTGGCGGCATTGTCTACCAAGTTCAAGAAAAGGGGTTTCGCGGAGCCTG